TTGTAATATGGAGGCAAAACTGCCTTATGACAGTGCTGAGTGAGATGGATCAATGCTCTGACTCAGGTGAAGGCACCTGTATTCATATAATTGTAGAGCTGGAAGGGATCCTAGGGTCATCTAGTCTGACCCCCTGCAATGCAGGAATCTCAGCTAAAGCATTCATGACAAATGGCCATCCAACCTCTGCTTGAAAACCTTCTAGGAAGGAGATTCCACCACCTTCCATCACACAGTTAAACAGCTCTTATTATCATAAAGTTCTTCCTGATGTTTAGTCAGAATCGCCTGCCTTGGAACTGGAAGCCATGGGTTCAAGTCCTACCTTCCAGAGTGTGAGGGACTTGGACTCAGACTTGGAACCAGAGGAGACTCAGTCTGGGGCCTGATCCTGAAGAGTCACAGTCTGCACAGGTTCCCCTGCAGCAAACACCAGCTGGGCAGAGTCAGGGGCCTGATCCTGCCCTGGCTCCAGATGCGGGGATGACCTCGTTGCCTCCAGCTGGGCCATCACTTACAGCTGCTCCACTACCGGTTGGGTCAGGAGAGGCTGAGGCGGCCCCTGGGTCTAGTCACCCACCGACGTCTCCCGAGCTGCAGAGACTGAGGTCTGAGAGAAGGGAGAGACCTGAGTACTCGCAGGAGGAGTGCTCGCCTTCGGGTGAAACAGGGAGGTGAGTCACGGGGGATTAGGACCGGCCGTTACTCCGACAAAGAGAAAAGGCTGTCGGACCCTGCCCCAGGTTGCGGGAGCAACATTGCTGTATGCCAGATCCTGCCTGAGATCCTGTACCTGTCCTTGCCTGGTTTCCTGTCTTGTGTCCTGCCTTGGCCCTGTCGGACTGACTCCTAGCAGAACCTTCAGATTCTGGACAGGCCCTGGACCGCATTTCTCGGGTTACCCCCGGGCCCAGCACACAGAGCAGGAGAAAACAAGTTTATTCCCTCTTCCATGGGACAGCCCTTCAGATATTTGAAGACAGTTTTCATATCTCGTCTCCGTCTCCTCTTCTCCAGGCTAAACAGACCCAGCTCCTTCAACCGTTCCTCATCAGGCTTGCTTTCCAAGCCCTCTGCCCATAGAATTATGGAATTGCAAAGTTGGAAGAGACCTAAGAGTCATCTTAGCTGAAGATGCTGGAATCTTCAACTAAGCCATTCATGGCAGGGACAGAATTTTCCGAGCATCGCAATGTTCAGCTTATCTGTCCGCCCAAGTTTTTCGTCTTTCCATCTTGCTCCTTGATCTCAACGACAAGCAAGTTATTTATGCTCAGGAACACTCTTGCTTTTAAAGGCGATTCCCGATTTTCAGGGCAGGACCCTGGAAGCAGAAGAGGGCGGGACACAGGGCTGCCTTCAGACCACGGCGTTCCCCCCAGCCTTGGAGCCGAGCACGGGGTTCTGGCGGAGCTTGACAGACAGCGGCTCCCGCATTGGAAATCGGTGCCGGGTTTTGTTATGGGGGTCAGGCGGGATAAATAGGAAGCTCCAGCAATTGAGGCGATTCGATAAATGCTTTAACCTCTGACCCCGTCCTCCCAATCCCCCATCGAGCCGCGGAGCCATTTTCAAAAGGCTCCCCGGCCGCAGCCCACGCCGTCCGGAGGCTGCCATCAATTAAAGCCCTTTGCCAGAATCTGGATTAATGAACATGCCGCTCGATAGGAAATAAAACCCCAGGCAGAGGTTAATGTTGCGCTAATTAACTGGGAGGGGGAGGCTGGGAATGGGGGGGAGGAGAGAGGAAAAAACGGACACGCACACAAGGCAGGAATTGTTTAAAGAAAGAAGATTTTGGAGAAAGATGCTTTGCAGGCTTGGCTTGGCATCCCAGAGAGAATCATGGGATGGAGGCGCAAGATGGACTTATCTCCCAGTCACCAAAGGAGTCCAGGCCAGAATGGAGATTTGACCCTGTGGCTGTCCGGACTTCATTCTGCCTCTCTATGTGCTCTTTGTGGGGCTGCCTCGGGAGACAATCCGGAAGCTTCCGTCGTTTCAAAATGTAGTTGCCAGAGTTGCCAACGCAGGTGTTGGATTATTATTATTATTATTATTATTATTATTATTATTATTATTAATTAAATTTGTATACCGTCCATCCGAAGATCACGGGGCAGTTCACAACACTGATCAGGTCATATTGCATCTTATTTATACTGGTGACTCAATGCCATTGCAGGTCACATTCGTACATGAAAGTGGACCTTTATATGATACAGTGGTACCTTGGTTCTCGAACTTAATCCGTTCCCCTCGACTCCCGAAACCGTTCGGAAACCAAGGCGCGGCTTCCGAAGCTTCCTGCACTCAATCGGAAGCCACGCTGGACGTTTGGCTTCCCAAAAACGTTCGCAAACCAGAACATTCACTTCCAGGCTTGCAGCATTCGGGAGCCAATTTGTTTGAGTACCAAGGCATTTGAGACTGTCTCGCCAGAGTGGTGCATGCTCTAGTTATCTCCCGCTTGGACTACTGCCATGCGCTCTACGTGGGGCTACCTTTGAAGGTGACCCGGAAACTGCAATTAATCCAGAATGCAGCAGCCAGACTGGTGACTGGGGGCGGCCGCCGAGACCACATAACACCGGTCCTGAGAGTTCTGCATTGGCTCCCAGTACGTTTCCGAGCACAATTCAAAGTGTTGGTGCTGACCTTGAAAGCCCTCAATGGCCTTGGCCCAGTATACCTGAAGGAGCGTCTCCACCCCCATCCTTCAGCCCGGACACTGAGGTCCAGCGTTGAGGGCCTTCTGGTGGTTACCTCACTGTGAGAAGAAAAGCTACAGGCAACCAGGCAGAGGGCCTTCTGGGTAGTGGCACCCACCCTGTGGAACGCCCTCCCACCAGATGTCAAAGAGATAAACCTGACATTTAGAAGACATCTGGAGGCAGCCCTGTTCAGGGAAGTTTTTAATGTGTGACATTTTAATGTATTTTTAATCTTTGTTGGAAGCTGCCCAGAGAGGCTGGGGAAACCCAGCCAGATGGGCCGGGTACAAATTATTATTATTATTATTATTATTATTATTATGAACCAAGGTACCACTGTGCCTTTGGCAGAGTAGGAAGCAAAAAGACTGGGGGGGAAGGCTGTGGAAATAGAAGCTTCAATCTCAGCCCTGGAACTTGGAAGCACTAAATTGGGGCTACCCACTGAGGGAGAAATTCCCCAAAAAGGAAGGAGAGCCTGGAATAGCTTTGGAATTAATATCAGTGCCCACTGAAGAACAAGGGATTTAAGCAATACTAGCTGCCCAGAAGGGCGCGGGTGGTGCTGTGGGTTAAACCACAGAGCCTCGGACTTGCCGATCAGAAGGTCGGCGGTTCGAATCCCCGCAACAGGGTGAGCTCCCGTACCTCAGTCCCTGCTCCTGCCAACCTAGCAGTTTGAAAGCACATCAAAAGGGCAAGATAAATAGGTACTGCTCCGGCAGGGAAGGTAAACGGCGTTTCCGTGCGCTGCTCTGGATCGCCAGAAGCAGCTTAGTCATGCTGGCCACATGACCTGGAAGCTGTATGCCGGCTCCCTCGGCCAGTAAAGCGAGATGAGTGCTGCAACCCCAGAGTCATCCGCGACTGGACTTAACTGTCAGAGGTCCCTTTACCTTTACCTGCCAAGAAGGATCTGAATACTCCAGCATATTTGAGACATTACATCAGGCCAAAAACTTGAAAAAAATTGGATTGCAAAATACTAAAGAACAGTTTATATGGATCTTAATTTCTTCAGGTGTGTGTGTGTGTGTTATTCCCTTTGTAAGGTAGCAGGATAAAAAATGCACTGAAATTAATAATAGAATTGTAGAGTTGAAAGGGACCAACAAAGGTCATCTATTCCAACCCCCTGCAATGCAGGAATCTCAGCTAAAGCATCCATGACAGATGGCCACCCAACCTCTGCTTAGAAACATCCACAGAAGGAGAGCCCACCACTACCGAGAAGGCCCTCTGCCTGGTTCCCTGCAACTTCACTTCTCGCAATGAGGGAACCGCCAGAAGGCCCTCGGTGCTGCACCTCAGTGTCCGGGCAGAACGATGGGGGTGGAGACCCTCCTTCAGGTCTACTGGGCCAAGGCCATCTATGGCTTTAAAGGTCAACACCAACACTTTGAATTGTGCTCGGAAACGTACTGGGAGCCAGTGTAGGTCTTTCAAGACCGGTGTTATATGGTCTCGGCGGCCGCTCCCAGTCACCAGTCTGGCTGCCGCATTCTGGATTAGTTGCAGTTTCCGGGTCACCTTCAAAGGTAGCCCCACAAAGAGCGCATTGCAGTAGTCCAAGCGAGAGATAACCAGAGCATGCACCACTCTGGCGAGACAGTCCACGGGCAGGGAGGGTCTAATCCTGCGTACCAGATGGAGCTGCCCTGGACACAGAATTGACCTGCGCCTCCATGGACAGCTGTGAGCCCAAAATGACTCCCAGGCTGCGCACCTGGTCCTTCAGGGGCACAGTTGCCCCATTCAGGACCAGGGAGTCCCCCACACCCGCCCGCCCCCTGTCCCCCCAAAACAGTACTTCTGTCTTTTCGGGATTCAACCTCAATCTGTGAGCCGCCATCCATCCTCCAACCGCCTCTGGCGATTTGGGCGGAGTGGGGTTCATGGGGAGCACAGTCCGACTGGTGCCCAGGCTGGAGCTGGGCAGGGCGAGAAGACGAAGGAGACAGACAAAATTTCCTCTCCCCACGTCCCTGCTCTGAAAGCAAAGAGTAAGTGGGAGGCACTTGGTTCCCGCCAGCTGGGATGGGCTGAAAGTTCCCCTTTCGGCTGGGGAGGAAGCGTGAAAATAGAATCACAGAATTGCCAGAGTTGGGACCCCCAAAGGCCATGTAGTCCAACCCAGGAATCTCAGCTGAAGCTGGCCATCCAACCTCTCATTTAAAAACCGCAATAACAGCAATATGATTATGTTGATGCAATGACGGTGCATTAGGGGCGGCCGTTAATTCCAGCTCCTCCCTTCTCCAGAACCCCGGAGAACGTCCGACTCACCTCTCTTTTGCATGAAGCCAAACAGATCGTCCAAGAACTCTTTGCGTTTGGGGTCGGTGTCCAGTTCGTAGAGCTGCAAATGTGGGAGAAAGGAAGGAAAGATTAGGGCAGGGCAGGAAAGGGTTTGGGGCCCCTTCCCTAGAGGCCAGAGTCCCCACAAAGGTCAACAACAACAACAACTATTATTATTTATTATTTCTATTATTTATTATTTCCCACCATCTCATCCTCCGTCGTCCCCTTCTCCTTGTGCCCTCCATCTTTCCCAACATCAGGGTCTTTTCCAGGGAGGCTTCTCTTCTCATGAGGTGGCCAAAGTCTTGGAGCCTCAGCTTCAGGATCTGTCCTTCCAGTGAGCACTCAGGGCTGATTTCCTTCAGAATGGAGAGGATTGATCTTCTTGCAGTCCATGGGACTCTCAAGAGTCTCCTCCAACATCATAATTCAAAAACTAGCCAGAGGTAATGATAATTTATTATTTATACCCCGCCCATCTGGCTGGGTTTCCCCATCCACTCTGGGTGGCTTCCAACAAAAGATTAAAAATACATTAAAATATCAGTACTTTAAAACTGGGCTGCCTTCAGATGTCTTCTCAAAGTCAGGTAGTTTATTTCCTTGACAGCTGATGGGAGGGCGTTCCACAGGGCGGGTGCCACCACAGAGAAGGCCCTCTGCCTGGTTCCCTGTAACCTCACTTTTCGCAGGGAGGGAACCGCCAGAAGGCCCTCGGAGCTGGACCTCAGTGTCCGGGTTAAACGTTGAACAAGAACAAGGACAATTAACAGCAGGTCTTCAGGGAATAGACGTGGGGAGGGGAAGAGATTTGCACTAACTTGAACCCCATTAGGTCTCCCCCAAAATGTACTGCGGACTCCAGGACATCATTTCTTTATTTCCCACCTTTTCCTCCAAGGAGGTGCTGTGCATGGTTTTGCTCTCCCTCTTCCTTGAACCCCCACAACAACCCTGTGAGGTAGGTCAGGTTGAGACGCAGTGACTGGCCCCCAAAGTCACACGCAGTGAGATTCACGGCCGAGTGGTGATTCGAACCCAGGTCTCCCAGGTCCTCCTCTGGCACTCTAACCACTATGCCACAGCAAGCTCTCTTATGATGAAGCTCTGGCCCCCCTGCCCATCGTGTAAATTCAAATCGTTAGTTTATTGCCTCAATTTGATTCCCTCCCCCTCTTTCTTTTTTCCTTTCTGCTTCTGTGTTGGAACTCCTATTCGGGGACTTCCCTGGCTTTCTTCTGGCCCATGTAGGACCAGTCTGGATAGTTGGCCTTGATGAAGACTTGACGTTTTCATCCCCCCAAAAGTTTTTGATTCAGTTTCCACTGAAATGAGGTTGCATTTTAATGTTATAATGTTGTATTTTAATCTTGTTTTTAAAATGTATTTCAATCAATTGTTTTTATATTTGGTGTTAGCCACCCTGAGCCTGGTCTTGGCTGGAGAGGGCGGGGTATAAATAAAATTTATTATTATTATTATTATTATTCTGCCCTACAATCGCCACAACCACCACCCTGTAAGGTAGGCCTGGCCAAAAAGCAGGGACTGGCCCCCCAAGGTTACACCCAGCAAGCTTCACAGCCAAGTGGAGATTTGAACCCTGGTCTCCCAGGTGTGACACTCTAACCACTACACAACGCTGCCTCACTTTGTGGATGAACCAGGAGAAGATGCTGCAAGTCCTACTCTTCCCATTTGCAGGTCCTCCCCTTCCTCCGAGAGCGGGGGGTGGGAATCTGCTCCCCACAAAAGCTGATTGGGGGGGGGGACAGCTTGTGCTTCTGCCACCAAATGGGTACCTAATTTCTCCCACCCACACCAGAAGGTGGTGAGAGCCAAAAGGGCCCCTCTCCCTCTTTGCAACCAGAGAAGAGGCCGAGAGCCGAGAGCCGTCCTCCCCCAAGGGAGCCATCGCCACCCCTCTTGGTCCTCCACAGCGGCGACCTTTGACCTTTGCGCGGGGGAAGAAATAAATATTTGATGGTGCTCGGGCGATCGCTGTTGAGCCTTCCTTGACACCTGTAGGGACTGCCTCCATCTCCCTGGCCACCTCCTCCCTTACATCAGGGCAATTAGCAGGATGGGGGCAGCCCCCTACTGACCTCTGACCTCTATTATCCGGGCTCCAGCAGAGTGAAATTGATGGGGAGGGGAGGGGGGGGCCGCTGCGCTGAGTACCTGTGCCCTCTTCCCGCAATGAAATTCGGCGACGTTCCTATTTCAGACTAGAGACTCGGTAGCTTTTTAAAAAGGTTGCCCTTTTTGCAAATATTCCAGAAACAATCATTCAAGCATGCAAACACGGGCATCAAAACTGACCGCAGCCAGGATAAGGCTTTAAAAAGAATTGTTTTCTGCATGTACAGTTTAGTGGTTTCATAGCCACAAACTGAAGCGGCTGAGATGCGACGTTGCAGTGATCACAACACCCTCTGCAACTGCACCAGGTGAGCCCAGATGTTTAGCAGCTGGAGAAGCCCACGTTTCGTTTTTAAACCAAAGCCAATTTTCTAGTCCTTAAGACCGCAAATGAAGCCTAGGAAATGTGTGGGCTGTGCCCGAGAATCCGAGAAGTGAATTATGAAAAGGAATTAAGGATTTTCTGGATCTACATAATGTCCACATTAAAAACCAGACTGAGGCTTTGGGGAAACAGAATTTGAACAGAAGCAGAACAGGAGCTCTCTCTTCCCCCCCCCCCTTTTCATATGAGAAACAGGGTTCTGGTTATATGATTCTCTACACCTCAGACGCGGGTGAGGAATGCGGGTGGCGCTGTGGGTTAAAGCCTCAGCGCCTAGGGCTTGCTGATTGAAAGGTCGGCGGTTCGAATCCCCGCGACGGGGTGCGCTCCCGTTGCTCGGTCCCAGCGCCTGCCAACCTAGCAGTTCGAAAGCACCTCCGGGTGCAAGTAGATAAATAGGGACCGCTTACTGGCGGGAAGGTAAACGGCGTTTCCGTGTGCTGCGCTGGCTCGCCAGATGCAGCTTTGTCATGCTGGCCACATGACCCGGAAGTGTCTCCGGACAGCGCTGGCCCTCGGCCTCTTGAGTGAGATGGGCGCACAACCCTAGAGTCTGTCAAGACTGGCCCGTACGGGCAGGGGTACCTTTACCTTTACCTTTACACCTCAGATACCTTCTTTCTAAACAGATCTGCCTTGTGATTATTGGGTAGGCAAAGTGCACAGATGCCCAGCTCAGCAAACATATCCATTTGCCCAACATTCACACAGGTATTTCCACCCAGTGGGGCCACACTGCTGGGAGCTTGTCTTTGAGGAGCATCTCTCTGGGTGCCCCCAAAAAGCACCAGTTACCTTCTCCCTTGGGATCCACCTCGCACCAGTATGTTTCCGAGCACAATTCAAAGTGTTGGTGCTGACCTTTAAAGCCCTAAACGGCCTTGGTCCAGTATATCTGAAAGAGAGTCTCCACCCCCATCGTTCAGCCCAGACACTGAGGTCCAGCACCGAGGGCCTTCTGGCGGTTCCTTCACTGCGAGAAGCCAAGTTACAGGGAACCAGGCAGAGGGCCTTCTCAGTAGTGGCGCCTTCCCTGTGGAACGCCCTCCCACCAGATGTCAAAGAGAAAAACAACTACCAGACTTTTAGAAGACATCTGAAGGCAGCCCTGTTTAGGGAAGCTTTTAATGTTTGAGGTATTACAGTATTTTAATACAGTGGTACCTCAGGTTACATACGCTTCAGGTTACAGACTCCGCTAACCCAGAAATAGTGCTTCAGGTTAAGAACTTTGCTTCAGGATGAGAACAGAAATCGTGCTCCGGCGGCACAGCAGCAGCAGGAGGCCCCATTAGCTAAAGTGGTGCTTCAGGCTAAGAACAGTTTCAGGTTAAGTACGGTCCTCTGGAACAAATTAAGTACTTAACCCGAGGTACCACTGTATTTTGTTGGAAGCCGCCTAGAGTGGATGGGGAAACCCAGCCAGATGGGCGGGGTATAAATAATAAATTATTATTCTTATTATTACCTCTGCCTAGTTTTTGAATTATGGTGCTGGAGGAGACTCTTGAGAGTCCCATGGACTGCAAGAAGATCAGAGGACGAGATGGTGGGACAGTGTTCTCGAAGCTACGAACATGAGTTTGACCAAACAGTGGGAGGCAGTGGAAGACAGGAGTGCCTGGCATGCTCTGGTCCATGGGGTCGCGAAGAGTCGGACACCACTAAACGACTAAACAACACTGGCTAGTTGCCACAGCACCTCTTTGTGCACCTGTGCACCCCACCTGCTTCTCCAAGGCCACTTTGCCCAGTCCCAGTCATAACCCCAAGCCCTTTCCCCATCAATTCTGCTCCACATGTCCTCTGGCCAGAAGTTATAGTGTGACCTACGTACACCATTAGCACATGGGCCTGAATCCAGGAGGTGATTCTGATGTTCCTAAACAGCAAAGTAAGACGCAGTGTGGAGAGAGACCTTAGGACTCTTCCCCAAAGCGAAGGGGAAATCCCTTTGCTCTGCCAGGAGTGTCCTGCTGGGCGATGGGCGCTCATCGCACATCCAGGCTGGCACGACTCCTCTCCTGGCCCGGACCTTTGAAACTGCCACATTCCCATGCTCCAAGGAAAACGGCCAAGAGGGGCAGCCGCTCCGGTAACTGAGCACATCCCATTAGATCAGAATCTGCGGCCTGTCACACAGTGGCTTGGCACGCCTCGTGGCGAACAGGCACCATGCCAGCTGGAGAAGGGCCATTTACACAGATTGCTGCTTCATGATTAACCCTTGGACTGCCCGGCTGTCTGGCGGCTTAGACCTTTGCACGGTCCAGTACAGTGGTACCTCGGGTTACATACACTTCAAGTTACATACGCTTCAGATTACAGACTCCGCTAACCCAGAAATAGTGCTTCAGGTTAAGAACTTTGCTTCAGGATGAGAACAGAAAATGTGCTCCGGCGGTGTGGCGGCAGCAGGAGGCCCCATTAGCTAAAGTGGTGCTTCAGGCTAAGAACAGTTTCAGGTTAAGAACAGACCTCCAGAACGAATTAAGTACTTAACTCGAGGTACCACTGTATATCTGAAGGAG